GATGACGTCAATGTCGGCGATGGAGTCTTCTGACGGGTAAGTGGGAGTGCCGGTTGTTCACAAGGTGCCCAGCTGATCGAAGGTTTCGTAGTGTTTCGAAATGGCGGTGAAGCCGGGCTAGCCGGTGGTCTGGAAGGGCAAGAGCCGGGAGTCATCTCGACAGGAGAGGTGGCATCCGGATTCTGAATCATATCCACCAGTAAACGAAGTGCGACGATGACGATGTTGAGTTGCGTGCGTCGCGATCGTAGAGACAAGGTCTGAGGTGGTCGACTGTGACATAGTCCAGGTAGAAGATCAAGGTGAGGGTAGGGAGCACACGTTTGAGCCGAGAAGCTGAAAGAAAAGCAGAAACGAAGAAGAATAGAAAATGGAAAGGAACAGCATGAGATGTGACGGAGAAAGCCATGAGAGTCTGAATGTGAGAAAATAATGTTGGCGCGAGGAGTATTTTCCTAGCGAAGATTGGTCTCAAGTGCTGCATCAAAAGAAACTGAGAAACCGAAGTTGGGCGTGAAGGTCTCGTCGTGGTAGATGAAAGCGATGGCAAAGTTGATGAAGAAGGGGTAGGAGTTGAACCATCGTAAAGTCTTTGTCGAGGTATTGTTGAGTCAAGTCCGCGAGTTGAGGAAGGATCAAATTCCGAGGACGAGTCAGTCGGCAAATCAAGATGCCACGTGTGAAGAAGCCAGCAAGAGCCATTTCCGGAGAACCGGCAGTACGATTGCTTCGGATCAATGTAAGGTGAGGTGGTTGTCGAAAGGTAATAGTACGCTGAGAGGTGGAAAGAGCAAAGCCAAGTAGTGTCTCATCGGCGACATACTCCATCTCAAGTGGTCTGCCGTAGAAGAAGGGTTGAGCGATGGCCTGGAAGGAGTCAGTACGGAGCATGTGGGAAGGTCCAAGGAAGAAGACATTGTCGACGTAACGTGCCCGTAGTGCCAGTCCCGTGGCATAACGCCAGGAAGAGCTCGGGAAAGAGCGTAGAAAGCAGTATTCCCGGAAAAGTGCAACAGCGCTGCATAAGGCAGGTGCCAAAGGTGAACCCATGGAGGCTCCTTGACATTGTCTGAAGACTGTCAGTCCTACGGTGAAGTAAGAGGATTCAAGTAGGTGAGACACCAAGTCTGGTAAGTCACGAAGGTGAATAGGATGGTAGGACCGTGAGGTCTTCCGCCAGCGGCCACGAAAGATCCGTTGAAGACGTTCTTCTTGCTGGTGGTTAGCTTTGTGCTTTTGTGCCCCTGCTCTTTCTGCAGGCTTGGAGGCCCCCAACCATGATAACTATATCAAAGACCCAAAGGTTAATAAGCACAAGACTGGCATTCAAAGAGGTTGCTAAGCCTAAGGGAGGGGGGCAGGTCGGCAAAAAAAAATCTACTGGGAAAAATGGCTCAAGATCTTGAACATCAAGGAACCCTAAAAGTTCTTTTGTCTTTAAAAACTATAAATTCTGCTGGAAAATAATGGCTCAAGATCTGTATGGTTAAGGAACATTAAAGGTTTTTTGTGTGAGAATATTTTGCAAAATGCTGAGTGTCCATTCAAACCGTAGATATTTGAACAAGGAATGGTTTGATTTCAGATTAGCAGCGCGCAATCAGACGAAACTGTGGGTTCAATATTTTTTATTGAGCAAATGCCAATGTGAGAGTGTATCGTGCGAGGTACACTTTTCAAGAGATGTTCGCATTCCATCTTGTTTTTGAAAAGCTTCACTGTGAGAGTGAGAGTAATGAATACAGTTTTTAAGTGTGCAGGTTTTGGCACAGTGTACTTGTCGTTTTGAGTTTTATGCTTTTTGCATGCAAGAGTCTATAATGTGTAGCCGTTTTAAAGACATCAGGTTTGGCAGAGTGCATTTGTCGCTTTCCTTGTTACGGTTTTGGGTTTGGATGGGTTGGGAAGACACTGTGAGAGTGCGGCACTGGCAGAGTGCACGACACTGTGAGAGTGTGCTGCTGTGAGAGCACCATGGAGTTTTTGAACAAGAAGAAAAAGGTGGGAAAACCATCTGACATGTGGCCTGAATGGCATCCACTGAGGCATGGATGGAAACAAGAACCTGCTGCTTAAATTGAGCCTGGTCGCGCCGGGATGGCGCTACCAGACCAGATGCCGAGATGGCATCTGCTCAGTCACCAATGCTGGTGCATCTCAATTCTGTCTGCGCGTCTGCAAAAAAATCAATGTGTTCTTTTGAAACCAAGCTTTCATCCACCATCCATCCATCCACCATGAAACCCCCCATCCACCCATGACGGTGAGATCATGGCACCATCACGGTGCCCAAACCCACTCTCACTGAGGTCTCGCTGATGTACTCCTGATTCTCAAGAAGCCGCCTCCTTGGCAAAATTGCGGCGGTCATGAGCTGAAGCTACACTCCTTGTTGATTGTATTGGGCTAGGAAAGATATTGTTGTATTGCGCTAGGAATCATGGCACCATCACGGTGCCCGGTGTTGCTTGAGACAACCAAACAAACACGAGCGCGCCGAGGCTTTCGCTGTTCTCTGACGAACTGATGGACGTCTTAGTCGGTGCCCTCAGAGCATCCGCATAGTCAATCTTAAGACGTGAGACGCATGAGGTATGCGTTTACTTGCCACGGCGCTCAAATTCAGTGAGATGGGCTCAATTTCAGTGAGACGGACAAAACACATAAACATATTATTTTCAGTGAGACGTACAAAACACACAAACATATTATATAATTGACAAACCGCCCTAGTCTAGCAGACCTTGACAGTTGACAGGACTCTTGACCCAACATTGAGCTTTAACTTTGACAGAACTGCTGAACTGCAATTCACGAGTCTCTCAAACTTTTTGGGTTGTTGGCAACCCAGTCGCCTTTGCTTCATGGCGGATCGTGATCCAAGACGGATCTGGGTGATGGGCAGTGAAATGATGAAGATGGAGGCAGAGCAGGAGAAGAAAGCCGAGGCCGATGGAATGAAGAAGGACAAGGAGGACGAGGTATTAGAAGAAGTTGAAGAAGAAGAGGAGGAGTCACATGGTCAACAAGAAGCAGAAAACAAGTGGGAGGCGTTGAAGAAAAAGACTCTCCAGAAGGCAAAAGAGGAATCAGAGGAGGCGCCAATGTTGATGAAGCCCTCTCCCAAATCTGGACCAGCAAAACCAGCACCGGTGCCCACGCCAGAAGAAATCGGTGCAAAAGGTCCACCGGCAACCCCAGCAAAGGCGCCACCAGTGCCTGGCCCAGAGGCTCCAGCAAAGTGGCCGCCTGTGCCACCGCCACCGCCAGACGCAAAAGTAGTGCCTGGCTCAAAGACACCGCCCAAGGCACCCTTCAAGGCATCACCGAGAACTGCTGCAGCAAGACCAACCGCCGCACAACCAGCCGCCGCACAGGCACAGGCACCGCCGGCCAAATCAGAACAAGATGCCCAAGCAGAGCGGGCGCAACGGCTTCAAGCAGAGCAAACGGAGCAGCAGCGGCAAGAACAGCAGTGGTGGCAATCGCAACAAGCAAACCAGTGGTATGCAGAGCAGCAGCGGCATGCAGAGCAGCAGCGGCAAGCAGAGCAGTGGAAGCAAGCTCAACAAGCAGAGCAGCAGCAACATGCAGCATACCAAGCGTGGCAGCATCAACAAATGATGGCGCAGGCACAAGCAGCGCAAGTGATCACACAGCAGCAGCAGCAGCAGCAGCAGGCAGCGCATGACCAACGCGCCGCCGCCTTGCTGCAACAGCAGATTGCAGCTGACAGGAGCATGCAGCAAAAGCATGGATTTGCATCCGTTGCATCGCCCCGACCGGCTCGCAACAACAGCCTTCCTTCTCGACTGTCGAGGGAGGAAGGGCGCTTCTGCGAGCTCAAGCAGAAGCTGACGGATTCGGAAGAGACCATCCGATCGCTCGAGCGCGCGGGGCTTCAGTTGGCGGCCAAGCTTGCGCTGGCAGAGCAGGCGTGCCGGGAGGCAAAGTTGGAGGGGGAGCGCCAGGTGCAGCAGCTGCTGCAAAAGCAGAAGATCCGCAGCCTCCAGAAGCGCCTCGCGAAAGCAAAGAGAAGGGCACCAATCATGAACACCTTCACAGGGGACACCCCTACTACCCATACCCTCCAGGACTGGCAGCCGCATCACTATTTTTACTTAATGAAAATAGACTCCAGATAGAGCTTGAATAAGAGGTCCAAAGGCCAGCCTTGCTGGGACATGGGTAGGGGAAGTCCCCCATGAGAGAGATGGACAACATGACCATGACTCACAGGAAGGGGCATGAGGAGACATATCATGAGCCACCCGAAAAAAAAAACACACACACACACACACACACAGGAAAGAAACCTGCACTCTAACCCTTTCCCTGCCATGGAGATCACCCCCGAAAATACTAATTCTTAAATTAAAGGGCAATGCACTCAAGTCAAGTCAAAAACAGATCCCTGCGCACTGCGTTCACAAGTGCTTTTTCTCGCGTGACATGAGTGTCTGCGATGCGATTCTGGTTTGCAACATGCGTATGCTTTGAGGCGACTCTGCGCGTCATGCTTTGAGGTCATCAATGTACTGCTGCAATCGCGCGTCTGTGGGCCTCATCAGAATCAGCATATGTACCCAGTGTAAACCCCAAACATAGAGAGAAAGACTGGCCGAAAAAAAGAAAAATCATTTAGAGCAAGTGCGAATTCAAGGAACGGATCATACTGTTCATCCGGGTTCAACCTGTTCCAGCGGTCATATACCCAATGCAGTGTAAAGCGTAGGGCTGAGAACTTGTCAGCACAGCGAACTGTTCCCCATTGTCTCTGACAACTGTTCTTTTCCAAAGGGTCATCTTAGATGACAGTGGAAGCTGGGGTTGAACGAGATTACACGCAGTTAAGCCCGTAGCAATTTGAGGCTCGATGAATCATGGTGCAACACAAAGCAAAACTGATAAGTGACAACACTTGCTTTAAGTCAGAATTACAGACTGTCTGACATGGTTTGTCTATGTTATGTTATGTCTATTCTGACTCAAAGGATTGTTCAACAGAACCATTTTCGTGTATTATCAATGTCATTACATTCAGTGGCAAGTTGCGCACCGCAAAACAAAATAGATATAAGCACAAACAAGTCACCTGTAGGATAGTCAAAGCGAAAGAAGCCTTTGGTTGGGTGATATCTCGCCCAAAATACCGTCTTGATGGAGCCGTTGCCGGGCAGTAGCAGTTTGAGGTCGGGGGGTGTCAATTCAAAGTTCTTTTTTCTCTCAGCTTTCTCAGTTGTTTCTTTTTCCTCTTTTAGTTTCTTGGCCTTTTCATCCGCTTTGGCCTTCATCTCTTTTCGTTTGGTTTCATTTTCAGCTTCCTCAATCCCATGGGCTTGCCCCTTCCCAAAGAGATTCTCCTCGAAGGTGTTTAAGGCATGTTTGCGCACATGTTCAAAGGCGTCTGCGTTTGCCAAATCTAGCTCGGACACTGCAGCCAACACATCCAAGTCTGTTGGCATTTTTGTCCAACCCATCATAGCTAGGAGCATATTGTTGAATTCGACCTCGGGAGCGTCTGGGAACAGGTACTTGATCAGCTTGGCTGCGTAGTCTTTCTTGACAACCCCACCACGTTTGCCAGAGCCTTCCCCATTCCCTGGAAGCGGAACTTTCAGGGAAGAGCACACAGACTTCAGTTGTTCAACGTTCAGCTGACATCCTTCACGGACAGCGCCCCTCAATAACCATTCATTCTTCGAAGTGATCAGGAAAGCAGTGCCCACACTGTGCAAGGCCGCTGGTAAGCAAGCCGGAGGAACGTTCTGCACCAACACCCTCCGCCAAGGCCCCTGTCCCTCAGCGACATCAAAGTTGAACATCACCTCAATTCCTTCCCACTCATCAGGCATTGTAAGGAACTCCTGGGGAAAGTCACAGTGTCACAGTTACTACTGTCAGTCAACCCCGTGGTCTCCCTACTTAATTATATCATATGCTTAGTACACAGTTACACAACTCTCCCATACATTACAGCAATTAACAGCAGCGTTTTGCCTCACAGCACCGCACAGTGAATAAAAAAAAGGTGCACTCACTGGACTGTCTCCTCATCACCAACTTCTACCAATGTTAGCTTCGTCCCGATACAGCACCACTTGATAAACCCCAGCGACAGAAAGAACTCATCTTGGTCACGATGGAGAAAGATAGCGCCGCGCTGCAACAAGCAGCCTGGCAGGGCTCAGAATGGGATGACAATCCAATTGGCCGTTATTAAAAACAGTAAGGCGAGTTTTTTCACTAACAATAAAGTGGAGTCAGTTCAAAGTCAAAGAACAATGCCCTGTTGGACAGCGCTTTTCTAACTAGGGCCTGCCCAGACGCGTGCCAAGTTTTGGAAATTATGTGCAGCGTCATGCATGATGTAGCAAGTAGCAGCTGACGATTTGTAATGGCTGAGTGGTCCAGCCAATCTCCAACCTTGTTTCAACACACCCTTTGCCGACTTTGGGAAGTTGATGTCAGGCGAATCTGGCATGGTGAACCCAGCACTGACGTTGAATGCTTTGTTGAAAAGCCGCATCATGGGAGATGTTTGTATCCCAAATGATCTAATGTAGTCCGCCCACACTGCTGCGTCTGGCAGTGCTTGACTCATTCCAGAAGCCTTGATGTAGCTGCTCGTGGTCGTGTAAAGCCAAAGCAGGAATGAATTCATTCGCTTGTTCTTGTTCGACTTTGTGATCAGATCAGTCAGGTGAGCAAAAGTGCTCTCAAGAATCTCTTTTGTGCTCCAGGTAGAGGAAAACATCCGCAAAGCCAGCTTTTGCGCGGACTTGATTTCAGCAGAGTTTAGATCAAAATTGCCCTGCGTCAGTAGGGCCATGATCTCCCTCACTAGCGGTTCTTCGTGGTAGGCCAAATCAGTCAGGACCAAATCAAGCAAAGGCTTCCGCATTACCCAGTCTTCTGCTTTCAAAATGCTCTCGACTAGAACCCGCAGATGCTTCAAGCATGAAACGCGATCAGCTTTTTTCTGGGAGAGCAGTGTTCCACAGGCCAAGGGTAGAGTCATGGTATACAACATTTGCGCCCACGAGGTGTTTGCAGCGAGCTCTACTGCAAACTTTGTAGCAACTTCAACTAGTTCTGCGTCATCCAGAAGATAGTTGACATCTGCTGGCGGGTAACAGTGCCCAGCGCACCGCATTTGTTTGTAGAGGTTCATGTCAGCCAAAGCACGGAGAATTTCAAACCCCACACGTTGCTGATCCCCTGCAGCACGATCAGCTACCCAATCCAGAAGAGCCCGTGTAGAGCCACTGTTGGCAACCAACTCCGCCTGATATTGCCGATGAAGTGGAGTAGCCAAGTGTAAAACAATCACACCGTGACACCTATTTGTGTCATCCTCAAGGATGTCCAGATTCATTTGATGGGTTCCCTTTCCTTTGTAGGCTTAGAAGGATTCGCATTCGCAGCAGGATCCTCGTCCTCAGCCTCAGCCTCGTCAGCGTCGCCGCCAGGTTCTGCCGCCGCCTTGTCGTCGTCATCCACCTTGCAGCCCACTGGACTAGTTGAACTACCAGATTATGAGAGGCAGGGTCAATCCAACAGCAAACAAACAATTTAGTTGACATGTTGTTACTTTAAACAACTTGGTCTGAATCAATGAATCGAGTCAAGGAGAGTTTCTTTGGTTCTGTCTGTGCCTTGCCACCGGATTCGATCATGACTGCTCTAGCTGCTTCTCTGAGGATTGTCCAGTCATATAGCAACAACTTGAAGACGTTCAGGATCCCGAACCAGGATTTGTTCTTTGCCTGAAATGATCCCGCGTGAGTCAGACATGAACCCATGGACCAATGGCACTACAATTACAATGAAATAGACGAGTTACTGAAGTAACTGGTTGCTGTAATGTGAATATTTAATAAATCACTGACAGAACAGGTTCTAGAAAATAGGCAAGTTTTCAGACCAACCGTGCCACGCAGGGGGTCATCACAGTGACTGCGAAGCACATGCGACCAGGATTGGCGTTCGTTGGAAGCGGGTGGGTTAGGACCGGGTCACGCTAATGATTAATGAAAGTCAAGTTGCAAATTGGTGTCTGTTGCGAATGCTTGGGGAGTTTAAGTAGTCCTCCAGCAGCATGTGCGCAGCGTCAGGATCTAGTTCAGAACCTCTGTCTAGGGCAATCTCCTCCGCCAACTCTTGAAAATATTCTTCATCTTGTTTCTCCAAATAGGATTGTAGGTATTCCCTTCTCAGAGCGATTCTCTCACCCCCAACAGTTGTCCCATGGGAGTAGTTGCTTGCTATGGTGAGTTTCATCACAGAGAAATCCAGCACTGAAACGGCCTTAAGTGCACGCCTGAAGCTGTTCCACTTCCAGTGACAAATGTCTGGTGTCACCACACCCCGACAACCGCAAAACGATATCAAATAGTGTAGTGCTCGGTTCTGGAGAGACTCTTCGTCCGCTACCTAAAAATAGGGCCAGAGCCACTCAACAAAAGAAAACACACTTTGCCAACAACTTTATATATAATAGATACTGCCTACCGTTCGTCAATTTAATCTACATGTAACATGTATGCTAAAGTAACACGTACTTGTTGCGCAGCTGAGTGACAAAGCGCAATATGCCACACTCATCCAGTGATGGACATTCAAGATTTACAACCTTGTTGCCCCAGAAGTCACTGCGTCTTTTTCTAGCCCACTCCGGTATGAACCATTCCAGGGACCGGCCTGCCAGCAACATCAGGACGTGCTGTAATGCCTTCAGCACAACCTCGGCGACAAAGATGCCAGACGGCAAATAAATGTGTAAATCTTACTTCCTGATCTGAGGATTCATGAGGCTCAAACGAAAAAGCTTTTGGATTCGCGTTTGCCAATTTTTGGCCTGCGCAGACGTAGGACCATTAAAATTAGGTAATTATGTCATGCTTGTAGAATTATGATTGCTTCACAAAATGCATCCGTCTCATTTATCACACAAACTGCACCACTCCACTGTCCTGAATACGGCTTCGCCATCAAGCGTTTCTTTCACCACATGTGGGAGGACCTCGGGCGGGAGGGGAATTCAGTCTGATTCTCAATGCACGGAACCCGTCAGGACAGCTGAAAAAAAACAGGCAAAGGTACATTTCAGTTGATGATGTGTCCTCTCAATGCATCAATGATACTTAGCAAGCAAAGATATGTAATGTCACTGGTTTCTTTCCTAACCCTAATCCCACTATTAATGTCAGAGTCTAAAACGAACTCTTTAAACATCGTTGCCAATCATCCACACATTTGATTCGATTCAATGCGCCAAACTCAGGACTCAAGTTTGCGAACTGACAGAAGCTGCGCTGCATTTGTCTTTCTTCAACGCTCGCTTCTTGCCAAGATTCAGCCATACTGTGACCGGAATCTGAATCATGGCACACTGTCTTTGTTTCAGTCATGGCTCGACACACGCTGTACAGTTCAGCTTTCATCTACCAATAATAAGAGAGGAATCCTCTGACAGAGCATCAAAACCCGCAATGCATTCTGATTACGAGGATCCATGCAGACACACAGATATTTAAAATGCACTAGCTACAAACTCAAACGTCTGACAACATGTCCCATGGAGCACCTAACTACTCACAAAATCAAAGAGCTTGCTTTCCACCCCAGGATGGTTACGACCAACGAGAAGCTGGCGAGCGGTGACCTGGCAGTGAGCATGATCCCGAGTCCGACGCGGCGTTTGCTGGTGGTGGCGTGGTTGGGCTGGATAAGAATGACCATTGCCCATCATCATCCTCGGGGGCTGACGTCAGAAATGAATGAGTGAAGAATCATGCTGTTAGTTACTGTACAATCAAATATTAATAAATATAACAATCAAAGCAAAATGTATGTCAAAATCAAATCAAATCCAGGGTCTTCAAAGTTCAAAGGGCGCGAGCGGTGAAGAGTTGCACGCCTCTCTTTCGGGGGGTAACCAGGCCCAAAACGTTGAGGGGATGGGTAACGAATCCACCTGAGTCCACTCGGCGTTGGCACAGGATCTGGGTTGACGACGGGCATGCCAGCCTCAGGACCAGGAGTGTCGTCATGACGAGTTGAACCCTCCTCAGGCACAGTAGGCATGGATGGTCCCACGATTGAATCCCTCGGCATGGGGATGGTTGGGCTATGATCACTTGCCACGGTCGTGTAATCGGGGCTTGGCTGCCAAGGCGTGATGTCTTCATCACACGTTGGATGCGACTTGTCAGTGAGATTCACTGGGCTCCGGGTGGGGCTATAGTATTCGGTCTCGGCCTGGGTAGGGTCACATGGTCCATTGCCATTGCCACTGTCTGGGTCTGAGTCCGAAGACGACTCAGAATCAGATTCGTCTGACGGTGGTGATGGTGATGAAATGTAACCATCCATAAATCCACAGACCCCGTCCCAGCGCTTCTTCTTCTGAGCCTGGGTCTTTGGCTTTGGGTTCACAATGAACTTGTCCACACGAGAAGCAGAACTGCGGTTGGGCAGAACTGCGGCAGCGGACTTGGTTTCAGTGGTCACCGCGGCCGCGGTGTCTGGCACCCGAGTCAACTTCAAAATGGTTTTCTTGGTCTTCATGAACTTGGTTTGACGCAAACTTGGGAGTGAAGAAGAAGAAGGCCCCCCCATGCGTGTCACGTCCGGCATCATGAGGCTCAGCACGGTCGTCCTGACATGTTGGGGCAAGCGTCACCACTGTCTTGGTAACCTTGACAAACTTTGTGAGGACCATGAGCAATTAAGGGCCGGAGCAGGAGACACGTAAGCAAGCTGGATTCAGTTCAAAACGAACCTCCGCGAGCAGCAAACAGTTTTGGGACAATCACGGATTGATGGCTCCCACAACTCAAACACGCCAAAAGCAAGACTAACTAGTTACAATATCGAAGCTGCCAAAAAAAATGTGTTCTTGCTCTAAAGGTGATTTGCTTTTTAACCACAGCGGGCCGTCTCAGGTGACCACAGGTCTGACGCCTAGCTCTATCATCACAGGTGTGATAATCAGACAATCAGGCGGGCGAAGCAAAGCGTTCCAGCACACCAACCAACAATCAATCAATATGCCTACTGAATACTAGCCAATGGTCTTAAATTGTATCCAACAGTTTTGTCTGACATGGACCAAGCTAGCCTTGCTCAGACTGGGCTGAATCGAGTCTAAGGATTCCAGGTTTGGCTCAGCAGGGACATCAATAAAGCCTGAAAAAAAGGACGTTCCCAGTTAATAATCAGTTATTGAAACACCAGGGCTGGCATGACTAGCAGTGTTGTCACTGAACGTTCTTCTGATCGATGAGTAAGTTCACACACGTCCCGTCAGGCAGCCAAGTGCCGGCCAATCAGATCAAATTAGCACCGTGGCTGCAATCTGTCAAACTTGCTGCCGCCGGCTGCCTGTCAGTCAGTCAGTGGCTGTGGAATACGCGGTTGACTGAGGGGGGAGCTGGGACAAACGCCCAGCAATATTAATAGTGCAATTTTAAATTCAAAACACTCGAGGAGTTACTTAACTTATATTATATAATATAGCCTACTGAGAAATAATCAATCAACTGGTGGATGTGGATCTGACGTTTTTGATACTTATGACAAGGCAGGACATTGTTGTAACACGTCAAAACTGTGGGGTGAGTCGACGAGTCGAGTTGTAATAGTTGAATTGAATGTGGTGTTGTAAACATTTAAATATTGTAACATATGCTATGTCCATCGAGTGTGTATGGCAACCACTGTCTGGGCATTCTGACCTGTTCTGTTTAGTGTGTTTGCAGGTTAGGTGGCGTGCCCAGTCTGTCTGTGACACAAAACGTTGATGATGGTCTTAACTTTAAAACACATGATGCACGGTCCAGGTTTGGAGAAGTGTGAGAGAGTGAAGGTAGGCAGCGCAGACTACGTACTTACCACTCCCTACCTAATTTACCATCGTCGTACTGGGTAGTTTTTTCCTTTTTGGCGGCATATGTTAAGTCATGTTTGTTTGAACTGTCGATAGTGGTCAGAAAAAAAACAAACATTGCATTCTGAAATCCAGGAATTACTAAATAGATATGAAATACACTCCAAATAGATAAGCCCTTAATAAGCCCTTAATAAGCCCCAAATAAGCCCCAAATAAGCCCCAAATAAGCAGAATTAGCTGCTGAAAGGAAATCCTCCTAGAATCACACCTAACTGTACACAGTTCTGGAGCAAAAATAAAAAAGTGATGATGCAAAACGTTCAGGACTAATCAAGTTGTCAAGGAGTGAACAACAAAACCAAAACCAATTGCCAAAAGTAATAGGTCAACCACGCCTCACTCAGTCATTGACCTTGGCTATTCCCCAGCTTCTGCCACATTGTTGTTGTGCGTATCAGTCTCCTCATGCTGGTGCTGCTCCTCCTCTTCCTCCCCATCCTCAGCATCAGCAGCCTTAGGAACTTCTTCCTCTTCGTCTTCGCGGCTCTCACCCGGCTCTTCAACCTCTACCTCGTCAGAAATCATGGAGTCAAGCAGTTTCTGTTCTCTTGCCTTTGCTGCTGCCAGGACTGCCGCATCTGCCTTTCGCTTTGGCAGAGCCTTCTCCTTTGCGAGAAGCACCTTTCTCTCACGCTCAGGCGTTTCAGCTTGCTTCTGTCTTTTCCGGGTTTGGGGCACGTAGGCTGCCACTGCACCTGCTGCGTCTTTGCCTCCCCCCTCCTTCTGGTCCTCGTTCTCTTCATCTTCAAGAGGAGGCTCTTGCCATAGCGTAGCCCGCTTGCTCTCCAACGCCTTGCTCACTGTACGACGCTTCACCTCTGGGTGCGAAGTGCATTCCAGGATCCACGTTCCATTGTCATCCTTCACGATCTGGAAGTCCTTGTCCTCAGGCAGGATAAGCTCTTTCCCATCTTGCGGTGATCGCAACACAGTACTGGCATCAGCCAACACCTCCAATCGAGGCGCACCCTCCTCTTTCTGCTCAGGCTCAGAGGGGGTCCCAGAAAACAAAGATCCAATCTCGTCCTCGGACTCGGGCGCCTCATCAGGCTTCTCTGCAACAACGCTAGACGAAGGTGCCGCGGTGGAAGGTGCGCTGACCGTTCCTCGCTCGATCCGCGTCCCTTTTGGCACCAGGCCTGACGCAATAGAAAATGTTTGTCAAGAATGATTCATTTTAAACTTTAAAGGATAAACCAATCCTGGAAGAAGTTAATTAATATATGTTCATTTTGCAATTAAACCTTTGGACTGGAACCGACCAATGACAATGCTGATGGCCTTGGATCATCTTCATGCCCGCCATCAACAAAGGCTTGGTAGCAAACGACGACTGCTGCTGGTGACTGGCAGTCTTTGCCTTGCCGCTTGCAGCATCACTGCCTCCGCCTTTCACTTTGTCCTTCCCTGCATTGCTGGGTGCCACCTTGGCCTGCTTCCCTGGCTTCTCTGGCTTCTCTGGCTCAGTATCCACCTTCTTCCTCTTCATCAACGTCTTGTCCTTGGGAAAGGCCTTTTCAAAAATGTCGCTGCAATACTCCGGATCATCATCGCCTGGGTTTCCTCCTGCAACTGCCCACTCACCATCAGCTGAATAAAGTGAATACGCAACCCCTTTCTTCTTCAAAGCTGGAAGTGCCACTCTCCGGTTCGTATCATTCTCAACCAGGAAAAAGTTCACTCCATCTTTCTCCAATGAGAAAGGCGAATCGTCTTCTTCTTCGTCTTCCTGCTCAGACTCCTCTGCTCTTCCCTTCTTCTTTGACTTGAGGAAATCCACCACAGCAGCTGGAAGGGGTGCAGGTTCGCCACCTTCTCCACGTTTTGGGAGTTTCCATGCAAACCCTCCAACTTCACTTTTTCGAACTCGGCCTCTCTGGTACTGGTCCAGTTGCCAGGTCATAAATTTATGAATGTCTCCTGGTGTCCACCCTGTGGTCTCCACAGGCTTGTTCCGGCGACAATATGCAGAGTGGGCAGCTTCAAGGACTGCGGCTTTGCCATCCCTTGGCAGCACAGCGCAGCAAAGATTGAAATTGACAAACTATTATAACTCGTCTGAAATATTTATTGACTATTTATTTTACGTTTGCTCAACCTATGCGCACTTCAATTCAAAATAATCCATTCCCCAGGCTGAACAATGTAACAAACTACTTTACCATTCAATGATATTCAATGCAATCCGGGCACGAAACCTTTGGATCAGTCGGCAACCAGCCCGTGCAGAAAGCGACTGCACTCAAGATCTTGGCCCTGCTTTCACCACTGAAGATATCTCTTGGCAAATAGACTTTGTCGCAGCCGTCTGACAGCCAATCTATCAAATGACAATCCTTAGCCGCATCTGTCGATGCACAAATTTTCAGAATCACTTCACTCTGTCAGGCTGATCTATCTATCCACCAAGCTTTTACTACATTTGTGGAAACAAAAAATATAAATTTCAAAGTGAACCCTCAATATTTATTTGATTCGAGTAACAATGAAATCCTTGACACAGCTCTGGGACTTGTAGGTCTCAGTCATGATTCGCCTTGATCGTGACTCTTCATCCTCGCGCTTACGTCGACCACCCAATGGACCGGCTGCCTTGGTCTTGCCTTTGGCCCTCGGCTTTGTTGATGCCTCTTCTCCTCCACGACCAGGGTGACCATGAACCTTGCGAACGCGCTCCCCCATGAACCTTATGTCAGTCAGACAGAAACGACATCTGGATAATTTGAGTTGGCGTGAATCTATGTATATATATATAATAAAGACCAAAAACACACAGACACACCAGAATTGTTATATGGGAAAAAAGTTTGCTCAAACTCAATAGTCTGGTAACATATCGCCGTCACTGTCACTTGAGTCAGAAGCACTGCTGTCAGCAGCAAGCATAGTCCTCTTCGGGCGAACAGTTGGTGGTGGCGGCGGCCCTCGCTGCTGTTTGCCGCCCCTTGTCCTTGATCTGCCCCTTGAGCGATCTCGAGTCTCTTCTGGTTTCACTGCCTTAACTTCCCTCGGCATCACAACCCCAACACAGTACAAACCAGTGAACGATGGCTAAGGCCTAGCGCAATGTTTGGGTAGCTGAAGCTGCGGCTGTGGGTTGGACAAAGGTTGGACAATTTGAATCGTGGCTGTCGCATGCACCCTTGGTCTGACTGAACGAATTGTTTGAATCTTTGAATTCATTGAAGTTACAAGTACAAACAAAAAAACATTGGAGTCTGGTAAGACTGTTTTCTCAGTCGGGGGCCAGACGCATCTACACCAGCGGCTGTTTGCTGCTATCATCATTCATTCAACAAAAGATGTGGGTGACTTTCTTCAATTATATTACAAAAAAACAGCTTCTGTTTAGATTCGATTCAATTCAATCTGAAAGGAAACCAATTTAACAATGTAGTAGAGTAGTGAGACCTTGCCAAATGTATGATGGGTTAGGTCCATCAGTATAATCAATTGTCATATTCAGTCACCCACAGTCATGACTCCAGCTCTGGCCCCACCAACTTGAAGCAGCACAGCGCCACTAATTGGACGATAGCGGCTGTCATGAAGTGAAAAGAGTTGCCGGCGACTGAGGCTGCTCTGAGGTTGTCAGCAACTGGGAGTATTGGGACTCCCATGGCCCCAGCAGATTCTGGGGTCACTGGGAACCCCAACACTGCGAGTCTGTCCTTAGGCGTTAACCAAGCTTCCCTGTGCAACGAATACATCCGGCCTCCATTTGTACGGAAGGTCGGGACTTTCCCGCTCACCCCGCTCCACGTTAAGCGGTTGCGGGCATTGTCACCCAAGTACAGGAACAAGTCTGGGTCATCGCGAGCCCTTGTGCCAAAGCGCTGCTGGTAACGCTCTGCTGCATACTCTACACAATCTCTCTCCCGATCATTCAGCAAAAATGCCATAGAATATGGTCCAGGCCGCTTTGCCCCAATAAATAGCAAAAAATGAACCCATGAACAGTGCTGCAAATCGCTCTACCAATACCAGTTCAATGAAAAAAACAAGAACAAGCATAGATTAATCAGAATCAAAACACTCTTTTCATAGGGATATGTCTGTGCCGAGCTGTGTTCGTAGCTTCCACAATCTGGTCATACTCCGTGGAAACCCAATAGTCTCTTGGCCGCGTGGAGACATACTTTTGGATGAAGTGTGAAACCTTTTGGTACATTCGCTCCACATCCCCAATGGGCAACACTTTCCCTCTCCAAGTCAGAATCAAATACACTCTGTCCCTAGCAACGCCCGAGTGCCCCTGGTCACTGGGTTTTGCATAGATCGGACAAATGTTGTAGTGCTTGCTGTACAGAGCATTGATCATAGGCATGGACAAGTCCTGCAGGCAGAGATTCATAAATCCACCTTGCTAAAATTAGAACCAGTGAAAACCCTAAGTTCTAATCGCTACAGTGTCAGCCCAGTGAATACCAGTTAGTACTGACTGATATTAAATATTAAATCTATACTGAAATTATTTCTGTGTGTCTTCTCTATTTTTGTTAGCCGTGTGTTTGCTGTCAACAATTGAAATAGATTAAAATAAACACTGTTTGTTGTCTGGCAGTCTGTCCCAAACGTTCTCAATGACCAGCATAGGTGTGCCGTACTCAATGTGCATTTTGGCGTGAGCTGCAAAAACTGACGATGTTGCCCCCTCCTCATACTTACGGTTCCCTGCGCGACTCATGTCAGGACATGGCAATCCGGAAATGTCATAATCAGGGATGTTGGCATTGGCCCCAAATATTGGACATTTCCGTCCATGGTAGAAACACCACTGTTCAATATGAAGCGGTGCTCTGTCAATCTGTTTTGCCCGTGTCAGAAAGCTAGCAGTAGGGTCCCACATGCGCTCCGGGACAATGCCGGTAAGATCACCATGGATGCAAGGATGTGGGTGCACCTCGCGAGTGGCAGTGTCGTACCACAGCATGTGGTCTGTGATAAGTTGTCGGCAGCGAGCGTCTATTTCCTCAGCAGGTGCCAACATTATTTTTGGATTTATTGAATATTAATTAATGATGACACCTTCTAGTCAATAACCTAAGAAACAAAAACAGCAGTTACTGGCGGCATATATAAATATGTTCATAGCTGAGTTTCATGGCATCTAATTGGTTGAAAGTGAACTTGTCGGTTCAAAAAGTTCGATTGGTTCACCGTGTGCTCAATCACAGCTAGCGCCATTTCTCCGCTGAATGACCCAGTGCAGCTAGAAGATGTAAAGCCCACCGATGTCAGCATAGACGCCTACCGACAGGGAATGATTTAACAGGGGGGCTGAATCTTGGGTCCCATTTGACATGGCTTTAAACATTTGAACGGCCAAATAAACTATAATTTCACGAAGTATTGTGATGCACGGTCTTCGTTAACCCCACGCCCGTGAACCTCCAATTCCTCACTCGAAGTCATCATCGTGATGCAGCGCCAAGCCAGCTGCACACCCTTCGCAGCGCGCGCCAAAGGCGATGACCGTTCCAACTCCTGTCGCTGGTAGGCAGCGCAGGCAGGTTGAGGGTGTTTGGGAATCGAGTCAACGACGATGCTTTCAACATGATGATTTGGTCGTCCAATCACTCGTCCTCTCGGGTCAAAGTCTCCACAGAAATGGAACTCGACTGTGTACATGGTGGAGCATCACTGTTTGTTGGGCTTCTTAGTGTTTGGCTGGTGACATTTGAGCTGTCACTCTTGTCAGACATCTTGTCACTGTCAGCACCGTCAGGACCAGTGTCAGGAAGCTCCGTTGCACAAATGACTCGAGTTGGTCGTTGGAAAGTGAGTGGACCGAGCGTTAATTGAGTTGCGTTAGTTCGGGCCTGGTCTGGGTGACACGGTGACAATGGCATAGATATATTTTTTTCTAACTCTGTGTGTGTTGAGCCACAATGCAGGGATTTGTGTAACAGTAACTTTAAATTTAATGAGACCTGAATGATTTACACAATGATTATATATATAAATCATTCAGTTCTCAGGGAAGACCGTCTGGTTCTGTCAATGTCAGGGCCCGGACCAGAGGGGGTGCCCAGGCACCACAGTTGATCTCTGGTGAGAACAACCAGAGCAATTCAGTGGGCCGCTTGCCCAAGGTGCTCGCGTCAAGGTAGATCTCAGCAGCCAAAATCAGTGGGGAAAACGTAGCATAATATAGGCAACCAAGCGGTTCAGCATTGAGGCACCCACGCAAAAAGTGAAGCACTGGGTCAAAAGACATCGTGCGTGGCAGAGGTACATGAACTCAGGAGAACAAAACTGTTTGAACAATGGTTTCATATGCTGTGTTGACATTCTGCCTTTCACAAAACATTGTTTCGGATGACTGGCTGTGGCTCTGGCCATCGCTGGCAAGAAAACGGCGATTGAGCGCATGTGTTTGACCCCTGGCAAGTGATTGTTGGCGTGGATCGCTGCAGTGATAATCCTTTCCTCAGACGTTGGATGGGCCGGTGTTCATTCATGACATGATTCATTTCTAAGACTGAAATCACAAGACCTCCTAGGTATCAAAAACAGCAGCAAAGGTTACCCCCGTCTACTGCAAGTTGATTCAAGTGGCTGTGCCGTTCCAAAGTTTGTTCACAACTTGCTCAGCATAGACAGAAACAAGAACTCTTTTTTGTCTCTTCTTGTTCTTTGTGGTAGCGGCAGCAACATCCACTGAGGTGTGGTCCCACTTCAATCGATCGACGTAGCGGTCCAACAAATAGCAAATCTCTGTAAGCAAGTTGAACACACGCGAGCAAAGAACACCACTTACATTGTTAGGATGTTGTGGGTCCAGGGCAAAGGCCAGGAGTTCACACAATGGAACCTTGCCAATACCCGACTGTGCAGTAATCCAAGGTTTTTTCTCACTGAGAACGTCTTGGTCCCACAGTTCCTTCACTGTGCTCTCCCAAAATTCACGTCCCCAAAACTCTAAGCCATACACAGCGCCAGACGCATCGACAGTCAAAAAACCAGAAGCCTGAGCGTGCTCACCGTCGTTGGTGAAAAGGTCATGCTCCAGCGTAAACCCATCCAAGCTGACTGACAAGAGCGTCAAAAGCTTTGAAAAACCTTCGCAAGCCTTTCCTCTAGATTTGGGACTCCGAAATTTGAAGTTGATCAGGTGGCAAACGGTGGCCATGAGCAAAGACGTATTCATAGTACTTTCTCTCAACCACATGTCCTGGGATTCCACAACGTCAGCACACCTCCCCTGCTTTGACTTCAGCCGGCGGATGAACACACCTGGCCACAATCGGCGGTGCATATCGAAAATGTGCGGGGATGCCTTCTTCCACAATTCCGTCGCTTGCTCTGCAGACTTTGTTTCAAGGAAAGGCAAGAGCACCTCAAATCACACTGTTGCTAAGCCCCTACCGTTGCAACGTTAGTGGAATGGTTCTCCCAGTTAAGAAATTAAATACAGTGGACCTCAATCAATGAAACGAACAATTGCCTCCTGCAAACTAAGTTCTGTCCGAATGGTCCATTCGCATTGCTCTGTCGCAGAGTAGTATACCACAACGTCGTGCCCCGATAAGGCTAGCAGACCTGAGAATGATTGAGAAATGAACATGTAACACATGTCAATAACGTCCACGCTTCAATACTTGTAGGTGAAGAAAACCCATACACAGTCACATATACAGTCTATTTCAATATGAACCAATGGATCTTTATTTATCCTATTAAAATTGAAGCTCAGGGTAGCACATCTACTTGCAAAGGCAAAGTTCTCCTCCCCACCATTGTCATCAGCGTCGCCATCGCCCACCAAGTCGTCACACATGGGCGCGTGAACCAAAAAAATCTCAGACTAGTGCTCTTCCCGCTGCAGCACTTCACTTGTCACATGATGGGATGTTGTTTCTGTCTGCGCCTGTCTGTTGAACCTATCAGACAGAACCTGTCTAAAACAAATCATATCCACTGATTATATGTAAGTAAACACTCACCACCTCTTGAGTTTCATCCTGACAAGGACGGAACGGAGCGTAAACGACAACGCCAATCAAGTCAAAAGCTGCGTTCTGAAAACACTGAAGTGCAGTGTTATACAAAAACGCTTGTTTCTATGTTGTTTTTGTCCTTCAAAAATAAGTCCTCAATAGTCATAGAATAGACTATTCATAGTCTATTTCTTATCTTTGTGTTATTTTAGGACTTCCTTAACAGGGCCTTATCAACAGGCTAACAACTGTGTATCAGGGGTCTATCAACACACCCCCAGGGTGTGGGTAGTAAGCATGTCCCCTGCTAAAGCTTTCATGAACCAAGTGAGTCTGAGGGAGCAAAGGGGGAAGCAAAGCGGGAAGCAAAGGAGGTTGAGGGCGACGAGGCTGGCAAGGCGACCCCCACATCCCCCGCCCATGAGAACAACGAGAGCCCGCAGGACAATGGCGTGGCAGCGAACATGGAAAACAACGACAACGAAGATGAGGCCGCGGACCAACCGCCCAAGCCGGAAAACAAGGACAAAGAAGATGAGGCCGAGGCTCAACCGCCCAGGCCGGAAAACAAGGACAAAGAAGATGAGGCCGCGGCTCAACCGCCCAAGCCGCAAAAGATCCCCGGGAAGAAGAACGGGAAGCAGAAGGAAAAGGAGAAGGCCGGGAAGGCCTCGTCGAAGAAGAAGTTGAAGGCTAGGGACGCCAAGAAAAAAGCAAAAGACAAGAAGAGCCACAAGGTGGCGATGAAGAAGAAATACAAAAAGAAGCGGCGAAGCTCTTCCTCTTCGACGAGTTCTTCGTGATTTAGGTTGCACACCACCCACGGTACCAGGAGCTGCCAATCATGAGCACACAAGACATAATCCTGTCTGAATACCAAAAGACACACAATACACTTATTTATAATAAGTATATTTATATGTATATTTAATTTGAAGCCATTGCTAGAGCACACACACACACACTGACAGGCCAACAGCGACGGCAGCTCTTGGATATTTTGGGTCGCTGGATCAGCCAAATTTCAAAGACGCATGCATCTAAAATGCACATGCGAAAAAAGAGCGGCTAGCGGTGTTTCAGCTTCTTCATACGCACCGTGACGGTGCCGTGGGCACCGCGATGGTGCCATGCGTACTAATGATATCTATAGTCTATAGTATTTTAAATGAATTGCTGTTAGATTCCACTTGTCAACTCTTGTTTATTGCTCGCGCCATCACGGCGCGATGAGATACGACGAGACGACCCCACCGCGCCCCGAGGCTTTCTGTCGCTGGCTGGGGCGCTGACAGAGATACTCATCTCCTTGGCCAGGGGCCTCAGTCCAGCTGGGTGGGAAGCAGTCTTCAAAGCTTTTGGTTTGAGTTGAGTTCGCTTCAGGACCGTTCGCTTGATAGATGATAGACTGATCGACTGATAGATACGCTAGACTCTAGATATGAAAACCACCTCTTCGGGGTAGCCGCGCTCAACTTGAAACCGATTGAGTTGAATCAAGGGCGTGTCTCGGGTTTTGTTTGAACAAGAAACGATTAGATAGGAATCGTGGCACCATCACGGTGATGTCGAACAAACTGAAACACAGCTGACTCACGGGCGCGCAAGCAAATCTTTTTGCAACGCATTTCGCGCTCGTCGTGCTTCTCTTCTTTTGCAGGAAGGCAACAAGCGATGAATACAACCATTTTGCATGTAGGTTACTTGGACTTGGACCGTTATTTGGCTGTTACTGTTCGGTAGTGCTCCCCTGCGAAGCTGCTGCTGCCATCAAAAAGACACAATTTTTGGTTGTGCATGATTCGTAACATACACATGCAATAATTTATGTAATATTTGACGTCACAGGTTCATTAAATGTACTGAAAAGGGACCATGTCCTGCCATCCGTATCACCATGGTCCATGCGCTGACGCTTGGCAGCTCCTGGTGACATGGGTGCTTTAAATGATTGCAGTTCATCAACTACTAAGACTAGACTCACTAGACTCACTGGACGAGGGTTCCCTCTTCCTCTTCTTTTTCTTCTTCTTGGCTGGCGGCTGTTTGTCCTTTTTCTTTTTCTTCTTCTTGGGTGGCGGCTGTTTGTCCTTTGTTGCCTTCTTCAGTTTCTTCTTCTTGGCGCTCGTCTCATCCTTCGCGGCTTTCGCCTGTGCATCCTTCCGCTTCTGCTTGCGGATGCGGATCCTCTGCAGGCGGGCGGCTTCCTGTCCCTGCTTCTCTGCCATGGCCACCAGCTGCATCTCAAGGGCCTTGATGGTCTGCTTGGATTCTGTGAGCTCCTTCTTGAGATCGCAGTATCGCCCCTCCTCCCTCGCAATGTGACTTGGAGAGTTGTGTTTGTTTTTGCGAGGCCATCGTCCCTGCCAGGCAAAAGGCTCTTCTCCCCATGCTCGCGCTTGGTGTGCTTGCTGGTCTGCAGGCCACT